AAGAAGAGGGGGACATGGAGGCAGAAATCATTAGGAAGCTATTGCCACGTTTGGAGAAGAGGAGCTGGGACTTGGTCTCCTTTCCATGCAGACTGTCTGGGTCTCAGAGACACTGCCATGTTGGGCTGCACTCCAGATGTGTGCCTCTCAAGGCTGTTGTCAAGGACATGAAAGCAATCTGTGCATGCGCTAATCCATGTCCTCAAATGCTTGCCTGCTTTGGTCCATTGAACAGGCATGGAACTAATGCATTCCTGGCTCTTTCTTTCTGGAAGGTCTTAGATAAAACCAGATCTACAGTTGGGTGAATATAATCTGGCAGGCAGGTCCTCTCCACTGAGCAATGGAGGCAGAAGGACCCACAGATGCTGCAAAGCCTGTGCCATGCCTGCCTGCTGCATCCTCCTATTTCTAACAATGCTTAAAACCTCTAGGCAGCCTGTCCCACAAATATAATGCAAGCCCCTAAGTTACTTTAAATTATCTTGTAGTCATGTTAACAAAAAGAAAAAGAAAAAAGTGAAAGTAATTTTAATAACATATATATATACTTTATTTAACCCCATATATCCAATATATTTTTCAGTATATAATCATTATAAAAATATGACTAAAGAGATATTTTGTATTTTTTAAATACTATTTCTTTGAAGGTTGGAGGGTATTTAACACTCACAACACAACTCAGTTTGAAATTAGGCCTATATCGGGGGTTCAATGTGGCTGGTGATTACTAGATTTGATGGCATAGTCGGGGTCTTTATCCACTTGCCTTGAAATTGTTATTTATTTATAATATTTCATAGAATAATACTAAGACAGAAATAAAGGCAGACCATATTACTCAAAACATTTAAACATTTGCCTTTTACCATAAAAGGGTAAACAACACTTCCGATCTTTCCTGATTCTCACATTGATCCATATTTAGTCTTTTTTTTTAAGTTTCCGTGTTCCATTGGGACTTGAGATTACCATTCTGATTATTAGGAAAGGACGGGAAGTGGTGATATTTATGATTGTCTACAACCTTGGCCAGGACCAAAATCAGAGAGAACTGACCATTGGCTATGGCTGTGGTGAAAACGGTGCTGTAAATAGAAGATCACACATATTGGGGCAGAAATCAGAAGGCCCAAATCCTTAAGGGCAGCATTTCCCCCTAATAATATGGGGATATTATTAGGTGGGCCAAGAGAATGGAGACTCTGAGAATAGCAGAAGATTTTCCAGTGTATCTTGTAAAATAAAAATTCTCTTACAATTTTTTTAAATTGACAAACATGGTATATACTTATACAATATGATGTTTACAATATGATATTTTGAAATATATGTACATTGTGGAATTGCTAACTTGAGCTAATTAACATATGCATTACCTCACATTTTCTCTTTTTTATGGTAAGAACACTTAACACTCTCTTTGCAATTTTCAAGTATACAATAAAATAGAACATTCTTCATCATTTATTTTATACAGGGACCAGAGACCCTGTATAAACTAAGTGGATTTCTCTGATTATCAGGCTTTCTAAAGTAGTGACTCTGTGCTGGTGCAAACATTCAAAGAGAATAAAATTTCTGTTAGCAATGCATTTAACAATTCCCACCAAAGACCATTTATTTCATCCTGTAGCTAAACTCTACTTAAGACTGTTAGGACTAACCATAATTTTTAACATTGATACTGTAGGAATTTTAACTAGGAGACTAGGAATTCCTACAGTTCCAACAGTTAGATGGAGGACTTCTCTTTCCCTTTATTTTGCATACAAAACTGGCTGTTGTGAAGAGGCTGTAGGAAAGAGACCCCTAACAGCTGTAAAAATAGGAAGAACTTAACAGATCCTTGGTGTTAGTGAGAGGAAATGATGGGAATGGCCAATGGCAACATGAAGGGGGAGAATAGAGAGTTCCAAGCAGCCTCCACCATCCATCGGTGTGACTTGAAAAGTGTGTGTGTGTGTGTGTGTGTGTGTGTGTCTGTCTGTCTGTCTGTCTGTCTGTCTGTCTGTCTGTCTCTGTAAATAGGAGTTGGGAACAGATGTTGAAATTATAGGTGAAGAGTTGAGGTGGGAATAAAGGTTCCAGCTGATCCAAAAAGATGCTTAGTCCCTGGCAAAGATGCCTGTCTATATGTGAGTAGTATTTAAGTTCTCAAAAGCTCTCAGATGTCAATATAATTACATTTCTATTACATAAAACATACTACAAGTTGATTTGATTTAACATATAATTGGATGTGTCTTCTACAATATTTATTGATTGATTCATTGATTTTTTTTGTTTGTTTCTTCATTCAATCAAGAGTTGTTAAGCACCTAACAAATGCTAGACACCATGTCATGGCGGTTAGTGGAAGACAACACAGTCATGGTCCCTCCTTTTGTGAAGTGTAAAGAAATGAAACATATGTTTCCATGAATAATATATTACAATCATGATAAAGCTTATGATGGAAACACAAAGTGTTGTGAGAGCATATGTTATGAATATGTGATTTATTTCATAGGGTTAACAAAGGATTCCTTATGAAACCGATATTCAAAGTAGGACTGAAAGATAAGCAAGAGTTAGGAGAAAAGGTGTGGATGGAAGAGTATTACAGGATAAATAGAAAACCATGTTTGAAAGATTCTGCATATAAATTACAATAGGGCTTGGCTGCTGTGATTAGAGAATACAGAAAAAGGTCACAGGTTGTGAGCTGAGACCCTAGAGATTTAAAGGTGCCACATCACGAAGATCTTTTAAGGATTTTTTATTTTGTCTTATGGTAAATAGGAAGCTACTGATGAGATTTAACCAAGGGAGTTACACACAAAGGCTTGCATTTTAAAAGACAGCCCCCCAGTGAAGAGGGAGGAATATGTTGAAGGGAGAAACAAGGTGTGAAAAAAGGGTTGAGAGAGTATTACAGAATTCCAGGCAGGGTCCGATGGTGTTGGACAAGGTGATGTTATTAAAGTTGGGAAGCTGTGAATAGATGGGGGAGTAATTAGGAGTAAAGTTGATAAACTTGGTAACCTATTGCATGTGGGGAGATAAGGTAAAAGGAAGTTTTAAATTTTAAATATCATACCTAGGGAATTTCTGCTTCCCAGTAGGAAGTAGTAATGATAGTAGCTTAACACTCCAACTAGAAAAGTCTGATAAATTACAATAATCATATTGTTAAGAGAATCAGAGAGGGAGAACCATTTCAAGTTGAGTTAATACATTCTAGAGATTTTTTTCTCTTATGGAGATATCTGTTGATTCTAGGCATACCCTGAGGGTTAGACATGGTCCAGATAGAAACTTCTGCAGGGGAAAAGAACTCAGTAAAGTTTTTAGTAGTAACACTGATCTGGATCGACAAATTAGAAGAGTGTGGAGCCTCAAACACATGGATTACAGGGCATTTGCCAAGTTCTGGGCTGTATGAAAGGTAGCACAGAGCTGGTATCCCACTCACCATATTTTCCAGAGCTTGAACTCTGTAGAATAGGAGGCTAGGAAACTAAGCCGAAAAACCACTAAAGTGCAGAAATGGCTCTACATAAGTTCTGGAAGGTCCACTCTCTAAAACTGGAGTGAAGCCAAAAATAGACTGAGTCTTGCTGAACTGTAATCTAGCTCCTACCCACTTCAATTCTTGATGGGACCAAAGTGATCAAGCTTTTACCCTATCTGCCTACCAGAGGAAAAGAAAATCTTCTCTTGCAGAATATAATGTCATTTGGAGCCTCTAATCTTTTATACACAATGTTAGACATACAATAAAAAATTACTAGACATGGAAAAAGGCAAGATTATATGAGTGATAATCAAGAAGAGAAAAAAAGACAGCAAACAGACTCACATTTGATCTAGATATTGGAGTCAGCAGGGTTAGTAGATTGAAAGCTGAGCAGAGGCAGAGGCGGGCAGCATCAGAATATGCTGGGCCAGATCACCCAGGACAAGGAAGCACAGAAGAGAGGAGATGGCTAATGGATTCCAGTGCCTACAGGCCACATAGAGGAAGGGAAGCTGGGTATAGGGTCTGAGAAAGGCTGATAAATAATTAGAAGGAGAACTGGGATTGTGTGGAGCTGTGATGACAAAGCAAGAGAGTAGGTGGGGAAGGAAGAAGGGCCCACAGCAAAAAGGTCAGGTAAGGTGAGGAAAAGAGACAGTTGTTAAGTGTGGACAGCTGGTGGGAAGCAGAGACCTGCTGACTTCGGCATCCAAGCTGAGCTGCGTAAGGTTGTCATCTTACATTAACATATTTTGTGGGATGGTTACATTACAAATACCTGAGTGTAAACCCACCAAAAGTTCGGATGATCCACTGGAGCATAAAATGTTACTTTATGCTGCTTTAGATATTTTCTCAACCTTAATTGACATTTCTTTAATTAGATTACAAGTCTTTTTCTCATAAATCATGTCTTGCCCTTTAAGAACTACTAGTTTCATGACTTGATTCTCATAAAAATGAAATAAATTGCAATTTTAAAGGCACAGATACAAGATTGTTACCAGTGGGACAACTTTGAACTTCATGTTTTTGAAATATATAATATTTGCTTTAATAGTTAACTTCTGCTTCAATGATATTACCCTTTACATGAGTGCTCAGCTAACTGTGAAGGGCCAGCTACTAAATATTTTAGGTTTGGGGAGCCACATACCATCACATAGTCTTTTTTTTTTAATAATTCATTAAAAATGCACAAACCAATTCTTAGCTTGCAGGCTCTACAAGAACAGACTATGGGACAGATTTAATTTGTGGGCCTTAGTTTGCCCACTCCTACTTTCACCTTAAAATATTTATAGTGTAATATGTGCTTCATTTTACTTATGGTAGTCTATCTTCTTCATCTATATGAATTTATATATAATTTATATGTATTTACATATATCATTTATATATAATATGATTTTGTACTTTATATTAAAAGTTATTAAGATATCTTTATAGAAGATTATGATATGTTACAAACTTTTCCTTTTATTTTTTTCTTCAGCAATTGATCAAGATCATCCAAGCAAAATCTGACTACTAGGAGTACACTCTGAAAGTCATTCTAGTTCAGATGTTTTCCATGAGATCTCTGAAATTCAAAATTATATTTTAAACTAAGAATTCTTGGAAATTTGCAATTGTTGGCTACGTGATAACATCTAATTTCAAAATATCTTTGGCTGGTTTATGTGGAAATCTGATGACTCCATAGTGATTTGTTTGCAGATACTTCTGTATTTCTCAATAAACAGTGATAGGAGGGCCAGTCCTTTTCACTGGCTAGCCAAAGAGACAGCTGCATCTGAAACAAAAGGGGCACAGCCAAAGCAGAATTGGTTTTAACATAATAAAACACAAAAGACTTGGACTTCTTTCTGGATTCCAAGAGGAATATTCTTTGCTGTAGGAGGACTGCAAAAGACAGGACAGAATGTGCAGGAGTCCAGTCACCAACATATTGAAATCTGGTCTTCAAAACTGACAGATGGGCACAGCCAAAAGCCCTGGAGGACATGTTTGAAGTACACATTGTGAAGAGCTCTGGCAAATAAAATGTTTCCTGAGCACTGACAACTCTATGTGTGGCAACTGGTGTCTTGAGAGTCACTTGGGAAAAAGAAAGTAAGTTAACAAAAGTAGTGAAACACTCCATAACTATCAAAGAGTTCCATGGAGGAAAGCATAGAACAAGCAGAACAGAACTCCAATGAATAGATTAAAATAAAGGAAGTGCTTGAATTGCAGAAATCAGAGAATTGCAGGGTCAAGAAAAACTCTTAAGTCCCTGATTGTATTCTCTTATTTCCAAGAAAGACTGTTTTAAAAATTTACTCTTCGAATTTTCCAGAGAAAATTTTCTGGTTTCTTTGTAAATGTGTTATTACTCTTCTCAATCCCAATTAGTCACGCTGGGACTCAGGTTTTATCTTTGTTTGAATATTGCATATATTTCTATCTTAAGGGATAGTTTTATTTTTGCCCAAAGTATACAAATGCAGCTACTGAAGTGCACTCCAGAGACAACCGTAAATGTAAATCAGAATTGTTGATGCTATAAACAGTAATCCAAGACTTTAAAAAAATCTCAGTGCAAATAGCACATGCTGTTTGACATGAACTTCTTCACCATGAACTTAACACAGAATCCCACTGCTCTAAAAATGTGGGAAGGCATTAAGCTAATACACCATATTCAATGTCTTCATTCCTTATGCAATTTAGATGTCTGTGGAGACCACTTGGCTCTTTGAGATTTTGACCATTCCATCCCTCAATATCTGGGAGTGAAAGTCCCATAATCACTTTTCCTGCTTTTACTGAGGTTCCTATCTCACCTGTCTCACTTCCTGTGGCTGTTCTCTTATCCCTGTGCTAATCCAGATGTAAAAAGGAGCCCCTTTCTTTCACTTCCTCCACAAACAATCCATACAATTTCTTTGAGGGCAGAGTAGAATTTGCTTTAAAAAAAAAAAAAAAGCAAAAGAAGGGTTTATTGTATAGAAATGCATTCAACTTAAAATTGGAAAGTAAACATCCTTGTTCTTCTTAAAGTTGCCTTACCTTTTTTGTTCCTGGGATTACTCAATGGCTACTTTCTGGGCAACCCCAGCTTCCCACCAGACTGCTGCCGGCTTCTATCCCTCTCTCACCACCCCCACAGCCCACATTTTTCACCTCTCTCTCTTTCTTCACTTTGGTACTCCATAAATTTTGGACTATCTTCTCCCCTCACCTGTAAATTCAAACTTGAAGTCATTCTTCACTCACTTCTAGACCTGGGTCTACTTTTGCATATCCAAAACATTGTTAATATTGTTGCTTAAGGGATATGTGTTCTAACATGGATCTCACCCAACAACAATATAGAGGGATTGACCAAGGCTTTGAAATTTTAATCTATTTCTGCCTCTCTTTTCAATCTCTACAAAAGGCAATAGCAGTAGAGAAGCACATTTTTCCTTAAAATGAATTCTTCCTCCTTACACCTAGTAGACATAACAACAGTAAATTCTGGCTTGGAATAATAGTCTTCCTTTACTACATTAAAACTGAAACTAAAACAAACAAACAAAAAACAGAGTGAGGGGTTCCAGATAAGCTTCCCCAGTTTAGGCCATATTCTGGCATTTCTCATATAGATGTATATCAGCTGTCATTTTCCTAAAGACATGCTAGGGTTACACTGTCCACTGTCCAATATGATAGTCACTAGCACATGTGGCTATGTAAGTTTGGATTTTAATTCATTAAAATTAAATAAAATTAAAAATTTAGTTTATCTGCCACACTAGACACCTTTCAACGGCTCAATAGCCACATGTAGCTGACGTCAATTCTATGAGATAGTCCCAGAATCACAGAACTTTTCCAACAAGGCAAAATTTCTATTAGAGCTGTTCTGGTGGAAAATGTATTGAATAAACCATGACCAAGGAGATTTGAGATTTGAACCATAAGTATAAAATGTTCCCAGAGATACACAGTGAACAAAGTATGTTTGAATTTTGGAATGTCCACCAGGAAAATTGGATTTCTTCACTGTTTCTGGAACTTTAGAAGAAATACCTGATCACCTTATTTAGCTGACATAAATATATTTAATAAAGTTGAGGGAGGTATATGCAAACTTCATCACAGTGAGCAATGACACTCATCCTGATAGGAATTATGCATTGACTGCCTTTTTAATAAATTAGCTCTTTATTTGAGCCCAGATTAAATTCAGCAATCTCACTCAGTTCTTACTGTAGTTGATGTAATGTAGATTACAAAGAAGTACATCAGTGTTAGATTTTTATTCTCTGGCCAAAGTAATTCTTTGAGGCAATTAAAGGAAAATATCAGGGGATCTCCAGAGAAAACTTAGAATAGGAGCTTTTAATATTTTATCAATGGCTTTTAATGCAGGGACCTTCTCACCATGAAAAAGTGTCACACATTAAAAGAAAAAAATTTAATTAAAATATACTCACAATAATGTCCACTCTCTCTATATATGTATGCATTGCACTTTACATACATTATTCATTAAGTTCTCAACACTCTCGTGGAGTAGTATTATTAATCCCATTGTACACACAAGGAGATGGCACTGGAGAGATGAGATTGTTTTTAAAGGCCACATTCCTTGTAGGTACAGAGCTGTGTTTCCCAAATCTCTCTTTACACTACTATGCTGGCTCTCTAAAACATAAGCCAAGTCTTTACTATGTATTGAGGGCTCAAAATCAACTTATGCCAATGCACAAGAAGAAGCAGTCATTCACCACAAATCTGCTGCTAACTAGAAACAAAGAGGTCCCATGATCCCCAGGTTTGTCAGTGATTGCCTATTTGACACTGTCCTCTACCCATGGTAACAAGCACCACATTGTCTGTTTCCAAACTCATTGTCCATAGAAACACACCCTTCACTGAATCAACACACATGCCTTGATCTCTCCCCTGTGCAGGCCCTCTCTGGTGGCAGGCAAAAGCTGGGGCACAGACTCTGCTTTCACAGGGGTGGTAGACTAGTGGCCACGTGGACTTGGCGTTCTCACTATGTGATGCTTTGAGAAGATATTTCATTTAGAAGTCAATGAAAGTTTAATATTGGGCTGGGGTCTGTAGAATTTTATGTGTTTAAAAATATACCTCCTCACATCATTAGGAGGGCTGCTACAAAAAAAAAAAAAAAGACAGAAAACATCAAGTGTTGGCAATAACATGAAGAAATTGAAACCCTTGTGCATTGTTGGCGGGACTGTAAAATGGTGCAGCCACTATGGAACACAGTATAGAGGTGCCTCAAAAATTAAAAATCAAATTACTATATGCTTCAGGAATTCCACTTCTGTATATATGCCCCAAAGAATTAAAAGCAGAGACCCAAAGAGATATTTGAATACCCATGTTCATAGCAGCATTACTCACAGTAGCTAAAAGGTGGAAGCAACCCAAGTCCTTTGATGAATGAATGAACAAATCAAATGTGATACACATATACAATGGGATATTCATAAGCCTTACAAAGGAAGAAAATTCTGGCATGTCCTATAACATGGATGAATCTTGAGGACATTATGCTAAACAAAATAAGCCAATCACAAAAGGACAAATACTATATGCTAGGTACTTCTATAAGATGCCTAGAATAATCATATTCATGGATAGAAAGTAGAATGGTGGCTGCCAGGGGATTGGAGGAAGAAGGAATGGGGAGTAATTGTTTAATGGTATGGAGTTTCTGTTTTACAAGATGAAATATTATGAGTGATCAGCAATACATATATATAGATAGAGTTCAAAAAGATACATTTACTATGAAAGAGGAACAGAAACTAACACAAGAAAGGACTGGCACAATAAAGGAAAAGGACAGCAGCTTCAAGATAAAGAAATAAACAAATTAAAATCTTTTTTTACTCCACACCTAGAGAAAAGAGAGAAAAATATATATATATATATAAATTTTAAATTAATGAATACATACTTGCATCCAAAAAGCCAACAGGAATGCTCATCTCCTTTATCCATTCATTTGTCAAATGGACACAGATTAATTTCATCTTGGCTGTTGTGAATAATGTGCAAAGAATGTGGAAATGAAGATACCTCTTCAACATGCTGATTTCATTACCTTTGGATATATACCCAATAGTGGGATCACTGGTAGGATCACTGGATCATGTAATAGTTCTATTTTGGGGCGAGCCTCTCTATAAAGACTGTACTAATTTCTATTCCACCTACAGTTTACAAGGGTTTCCTTTTCACCACACCAATAATTGCTATCTTTTGTCTTTTTGATAATAGCCATTCTAACAGGTATGAGGTGATATCTCACTGTGGTTTTCATTTGCATTTCCCTGATGATCAGTGATGTTGAGCATTTTTTCATATACCTGTTGGCCATTTGTATGTCTTCTTTCGAGAAATGTCTACTCAGATCCTTTGCCCATTTTGTAATCGGGTTATGTTTTCTTGCTATTGAGTTGCTTTAGTTACTTATATATTTTGCATAATAATCCCTTGTCAGATGTAAGATTTTCAAATATTTTTCCCATTCCATATGTTGCCTCTTCTTTCTGTTGATTGTTTCCTTGGCTGTGCAGAGCTTTTTATTTTGATGTAATCTCATTTGACTATTTTTGCTTTTTTTGCCTGTGTTTTTAGGGTCATATCAATAAAGATTCCCCAGACCAATGTCATGGAGCTTCCCCCCAGTGTTGTCTTCTAAGAGTTTTACAGTTTCAGGACTTACATTCAAGTCTTTCATCCATTTTGAGTCGATTTTTGCATGTGGTGCTTGATAAGGGTCCAATTTAATTCTTCTGCATGTTGATATACAGCTTTCCTAAAAGCATTTATTGGAGAGACTAACCTTCCCCATTCTGTGTTCTTGTCATAGATTTATTTCTAAGATCCCTATTCTGTTCCATTGGTCTGTGTGTCTGTTTTTATACCAATACCATGCTGTTTTGATTACTATAGTTTTGTAGCATATTTTGAAATCAGGAAGTGTGATGCTGCCAGCTTTATTCTTCTTGCTCAAGGTTGCTTTGGCTATTCAGAGTCTTTTGTGATTGCATATAGAGTTTAGGATATTTTTTCTATTCATGTAAAAAACACCATTGGAATTTTGATAGGGATTG